TGTATATATCCACACACTATGCCTACAACCCAAGGATCTTTAAGAACAAAGTCAATTTCTGTGATGCTTAACATCTACAACACTTTCTCACAAGTTTACTCCCATGTGATTCATGCAATGTTATGAAACAAATACTAATTGAAGATAAAGGTAGACCATCCTTTTCAAATGATGAAAGAAGCACAAATAAACAATTTGAAAGCATGTATGTTAGTATCTTCATTTCAAAGCTAAGCCAGTAACAATCTTCAATAGTCTATCAACAATCATGAATTTGTAGAATGTGCCTCATCTGTTTGAATAATGGGTAGTTGCTGTAATCTGGGACTGTTAATTTAATAACATGCTGTTTATTCAAAGTGACAAGTTTTCCCCCAAGATTTATTTGTATAATCATTTGATACTCAAATATGTCCTAAGAACATAATTAACAAACAGGCAATAGCTAGTTCATGAACAAAAATAACAAAACAGAAAGACTAAAATAAAGATGAAATATGTATATTTAATGTATAGCAGGTGACAATGATCAAAGAAACATTTTTTAGTCAAGATTTTTTTGCTGCAGGTTTCTTTGGCTGTCTTTTCTGGCTGTCGGTCATAAAACTGCTCCATGGTTCCAGCTATCCGAACACGTACTTGGACTACAAAGATATGTGAGTAGTCATTAAATATCACACAACCATCTTCTCATGAATCAGACTGGTATTCTGCCCCAGAGACGAATCCCAACTACCGTGATGATTTGTTCACATTAACTGGTTAACTTATGACAAAGACAGCTGGCATTTTATATTCTAACATATATATTTTAGTTAGTCTAAAAATTTGCTATTATGAATTTGCTATTGCTGCTTGAATTCCATGCCTAGGAATATAATGTAGTATTTATTATTGTTACTGGCTAAATAAGTATCTAGTACTTGAAAAGTACAGTATTATACTTACATGTTTGGCATGGATGTGAATATTGGTCTATGAATCAATGAAATAATTTTCTCCTCTATCTAATAATTTTTACCCATCAAAATATCTGAATACAAATTAAGCACTCTTTAAGAAACTCCATGTCTCAATTGACATTTTATATGTAGGATCAGAAATATCTGAATTTAGAGTATCACAGATACATTTTTTGAAGGACATAAAAGGAAAAAAGTTACACTTCAGACAAGTATTACTAGAAAGAAATAGGAAAATTTTCCACAAGTAAGGTCCACAGTATGTTGGCAAAAGCTAATCAAAATCTTTAATTTAGTTTGTGAATTTCTACCTCACCAAAAACTTCAGATAATCTATATGGAGACCAGATCAGCTTTGAAACTACTTCAATATCTCTAACTTTGAAGTAGATAAAAATTGAGAATTGAAAGTGTGAGTAAAATATAAATTTCTGGGCAGAGGAAATTATAGCTCAGTGGTAGAGCACATGCTTAGCATGCACAATGTCTTGGATTCAATACCCAGTACCTCCTCTAACATAAAGACACCTAATTACCTCCCCCTACCAAAAAAAAAAGCAAATAATAATAATAATAATAATAACAAATGTGCAAATATTTCTAAGTAACATTAATGGCCAATAATAAATAATTTTAAATTTCACTTTAATGACACCATGTCTAAAATATGTGCATACTAAATGTATCTATTATGTGTAATAAAATATCTTCTAACATAGCCATAAATTTTTTTCCTCCCTTCCTTATTATCACCATACTAGCACTTAACATATTTTCTTACTTCTGAATGTTTTATCACTTTAAATAATCTCAAGCTATTGGTCTACTTTCAAAGTTACTATGAGGATATTAACTTGAAGGCTATTATCTATCTACTTTTATGAATTCAAGTCAACAGAAAGTGGTACTTTACTATATTTTGAGATTCTTTTAGGATTTTTCTGAGACAATTTCACAAGCCATCTGTTGCATTTGTGCTACCAACGACTAGCATTAAAAAAATTAGTCTTCTTAAAAAAAAGATTATTCATTTATATAAATTGTTTTCTCCTTGTTTATGCATATAGTTGATTTCAAAGTGGGTCTCATGAGATGGATGTCTGGGAAACTTAGACTTTTGGAACTGGAATGGACACTAGAGATCAGCTACTGCAACCTCTTCATTTTACAGTTGAGGACACTGAGCCCAGAAAAGATAGCTGAGTGACTATGGGCAAGTTTCCTACCAAGTGACAGAGCCAGAACCAGAAGCCAGGTCTCCTGACGCCCAGTTAGGAGCCAGGTCTCCTGACTTTTCATCCAAGGATATTTCCATTACACACACACTGACTCTCTATTCTTTGAGGCTGTCTTGGGCTGCTCACCCTGATCAAGCTACTTTGTAAATGATCACATTCAGCAAATAAAATGCTTCTGATGACAAGTCATGGGACCTTGGAACGTACCCGTATAATCAGGCTATACTCTAATTAATCACGATTTCCCACTGCCTAGGACATCTCAGGGACTCCTTGTTGACCATGCAATAAATCATAAGCTCCTTAACGTGGTCTCAAAGCAGTATATCATCTAGCCCCAAAAAATCTCATGAAGCTCTCCCTTTCTTGATCTATGCTGTTGACACCAGCCTTTATTCAGTTCTTCCAATGCACCAAACTCCTTCCTCTCCCAGCACAGTCATTCCCTCCACCCCGGCTCTTTTCCCATGCTTTGTCTGGCTATTAATTATTCTTCAGATCTCAGTTCTAAATATAAGACCCCTTCAAAAGGATTTCCACAAGCCCTCTAATCATTTGCCCCACTCCCACCTCTTTGTTTGTGCATTCTTATTACAATCTATATTTGTTAGAGTTTATAGCAAGTCCAATTAATGAATAATTTATTCAGTTACTTATTTGATATGTTCCCTGTTCAGTCTACTCCAAGCTCTATAAGAACAGGCATGCTGTCTATTCTTAATCACCACTCTACCCTCCAGTACTTAGCAGACTCTGCTGGAGCACAACAAACACAATAGCTCGTATTTACTACACTTAGTTGGTTACTATGTGCCAGACCTTGTTCTAAAGCTGTTGATCTCATTTTAGTCTCCAGCAAACCTGTGAGGTTGGGGCTGGTATTGCACATATTTCACAGATGACAAAACTCAGGCTCAGTGAACTAAGATGCTTGCCCAGCATCACAGAACCAGTAAGTGCTGGAACTGAGATTTAAATCCAGGCATCCTGATTCCAGAGTCCATTTTATTATAGTAATACTTTATGCTGCAGCACACTCAAATATTTGCTGAGTAAATGAATGAACTTACCCGCAAAACCAAATCAACCACACCACCAAACTATGTAAACAGAATAATAACAACACATACTGAGTTTATGCCAGGCCCTGTTCTAAGGAGTATACATATTTTAATCATTTACTCTCACAGCAACCCTCTTGTTATTAGCACTCTCCAGATGAGGAAATTGAAGCCTAGAGAGGTTAAATAACTTGCCAAGATCATGTTGCTGGTAAGGGGCAGATCTGGGGCTCAAATACAGGTGGTTTATTCCAAGTCTATGCCTTAACTTCTGCTCTGCACTGCCAACCTTGTGCTAGCCCAGATCTGAAAACAGCTCCAAGTTAATGTTACTAATGCAGCAATAATTAGTGAACACACACAAAAATGGAGGACCCCCATCTGTTTAGGCTGAACTGACTTCTATGTGAAGGAGAAAAATGCTCCTCCTTTGCACGAGTGAAAGGTAGCCCCTTCCTTCGGGTGCCTACAGCTCCATAACACAGTGAAGGGTCTTCTGAGGGAGTGATGGAGGTGAAGGATGGCTTCCGCATCTCTGTCCTTACCCTTTAGCTGGGCGCCCTTGCCAAGGGTACCGCCTGCATACCCAGATGTGGTAGCCCTGGTTAGACTATGTGGAATTGTCAAAAGCACATGGACACAGTGAGGAAAAAGGAAATATCTAACTCTAGGATAAAGGCTAAAAAAAAAAAATTGCAACAACAATGTAAAAAAATCCAGAGCCACAGTGAGCAAAAGGAAAAATACTGCTAAAACCTTGCCAAATGTTGCTAAAATTTCAGATGCACAGGGTTCTCTTCACCGAGCTCTTAGTTTCATCAGCTAGAAAGTGAAGCTAATAGCACTTACCTTGAAAGGATTCTTTCAATAACAAAATAATGTTGGTGACATCCTCTCTGTAACTGATAAAGCACCGTCCAGATTGTATGTTTACTCAATATTCAAATCTTATATCTTACAAACTCCGTAGGGATCCTTTACTCAGATCTTAAATCAATTTTGTTCTCTGTGAAAAATCACCAGTGAAAATTGCATCGCTATACATGCTGATCTTTTAAATGTGTGATTCCATTTTGCACATGGTTGAAATTGTATTCTATGAATATGACAGAACAATAGAAAGTCCAGAAAGAGGCAGCCTTAGCATGAGGCAGCATTTTTTCTCAAAGACAATCCTTTTGGAAGGTTACTTAAAAACAAAAATGAAATGAAAAGAAAAATTTTAATTCAAGGTTGGGTGCACTCGTCAGCTTATTTGGACAAAGGATAGATGTTACTGCTCCAGAGTCTGGGTATTCAGCAGTTTTAGAAGGTGTGCTGATAAAAGTAGGGCAAACAAATCTGGTTTTACAAGCCAGATTTCCCAGACTGTGGTCTGTGTGCAAAGTCAAAAGAATAGGCCAAACTGGTCAGCTGCATGAAAAAAAAAAAAAAAAAAAAAAGAAAAAAACTAAAAATAAATCAGATTGGTATGTAGATGAAATAAGCAAATTGACCACATGGCTCCCAATTTCAAGGAATGATAGTGGAATCACTAAGCACAGTTACTATGAGAGACACTGGGAAATTCATGTAAATTTTCCATATGCTTCGGGTCTCCCCAAGCAAAATGCAAATAACCAAAGTCTTTCTTTCCAAGGCGCTGTCACATGCTTAGGTGAAAGACAGTTCATGAGTGGAGGGCGTGGGGAGGGGGAACCTCTTATCTTTGCTGACAAAACAAGATCTTATAACCTTACCTAACAGATTGGTCAGCCACAAGGCCAGATCTTCTTTCATCGGCAGCAAATTAGCTTCATGTCTGCTGGCCAGCCACTGGCTATACTGGTGCATATCAGAGAGGCCAGGTCCACTCCGTACCTTGGGGCTCAGAGCAGTGCACATTATTTATCCACTTGGAATACCTGTTTTGGAAACAGAAGAGCAATTGCTTTTTATACAGACTTCTCTTGTGAAAATCCTGCTGCCGGTGACACAGTGAGGCACCAGATCCGTGGATGTTTTGATGACAGGCCAGGTTATTAATTATTAATCCCTTATGAAACCTTATTAGCTTTATCTGTACTGGCCCTGTCACTTTTGACCAGCCACTTGGTTGGAAACAGCAGCAATCAAAGGTCAAACACAGTAATCAAACAGTAAGCTCTATGTTTGTGTAAAACATCCTATTTGGAATAAGTCAGCTTCTCAGGCAAGAAATTGCATTCATTGAAAAGCAATAAAAAGCGGCTGATTACAATTTTGGTACCTAAATTGTACCCCTCCCATTGTTTGGGTTAATTGTTGAAACCACAGATTTTCATAGATTTTTAGGAGTAAGTGCTAGCAATGACAGTATTTGCACAATGTCTTAGAAACACATGGTCACTACTCTTAAGACGATAACCTGTGAGATTAAGCACAGTGCTTGCTTCTTTGCAGATCGCTAAGCAATCATGGTCTTACAGTTGAGACAAATGGTTAGAAGACAAGGTAGGCGTGCATTTAAAGAGTTCCTCCTGTACTTCTCTCATTTTACAGTTAATGAAAAAAAAAAAAGAGGGGAAAGTGACTTAACCAAGATCATATAGCTAGATCATGACAGAGTAGGGCCTGAATTTGGGACCTCATATAAGACCGTTACTGTTTTCTGAGTGACACATTTTACAAAATAGTATCATCAATAACCCCCATTATAATCTAGGAATTAAACCATAATTCTAATAAATACCACCCACCACAGGTTATACTTTTATTGTACTTTGTACCTTCCCACATACCAGGGTTTGTTTGCAATCATCTTCATAGTCAAAGTCATTAAATGTCTTATAGCTACAAAATCAGAGATGATGTCACTAATCTACGAGAAGCACAGTTCTCCATGTGGGTTGCAAAAAACATGTATGAATATAGACTTGGCCTTGAATGTAGCACTTCAGTATGTATTACTTACAGGACCTTAGACCACAGAAATAATACTGAAGCAGCAAGGGAGTAAACTCATAAGTTAAACCGTGCGTAGAACTGCATTCCGTATGCAAATAGTGCCTGCAAAATAACCAACTGTGCTATGACTGAATGAAAATGGTAAGAAGTAAGATTTATATGATATAATGAGGGCTTCAACTATGTTTACTACTAATGGCATTTTAAGTTATCAATGTAAGTAATACGTTATACTTATAAAATATATCATTTTATATATATATACATATACACACACATATAAATATATATATATGTTTTATTATCTGCAACTTAACAAAGCATTCCTTTCCAGTTAATCTCAAATTCTGATTCTCCTAGCCTACATTAATTTTGCTTTCTACAGACTGCTTTTTTTTAAAAAAAAAAAAAAGACAATGGTGTTCAGAAAAATGTAAAATGTCACAGTCTCCCAAATGTTTTGCTGTAGTATTAGAAGACTGACGGGAGTGTGAGTAAACACCTAAAAGAGTCATCAACATAAAAATTAAAAGCACAGACAATTTCATTTCCAAAGCAATTATGTTTTGAAGTAATCCTTTGCAAAAAAGACACTAAGTTTTCTTTGAAAACACTTTCTATAAATCTTTCTCTATCTAGTTTTCTAAAGTGATAATCAGTGAAAATGTGAAATTTTCTTAATATGCCTTGTCCTATGCTATTAAATTGTCATTATAGGGACCAGTACATCACAAGTGTCCATTTCCTTTTGCAGCTAATCATGACATTATTCATATAGAGTCCTAAAGTTTTCTCCAAACCCTGCAATTAAACCAGAAACCTCACACATTTTTTGCCCCAGTTCTTTAAAGAGTAGCTCCAGTCCCAGGAAGACAAAACATCTCCAGTAGCTGGTTAGGGCACATCCAGGTGAGCCAGCCTCAGAAACAAACATTTAAATAATAATATATTTCAGCGCATGATTCATACATTTAAATAACCAACTGAAATCTTAAAAGGGTTACCTCTAAAATGCCTTTCTTCTCAAGACACAATCTCTCCCACTACTTTCCTGAAAGTGAGATGCGGTAGTTCAGTAACTTTACCTGCATCCTATTATGTGCTCTGCAACTTCCATTTAAGCATCAGAGTCCTATTTTGCTTTGTAAAAGCAAGAAGACACCTCCGATTCTTAAGCTCATTGTCCAGCAAAGAATTCATCAGGGGATAGTTTACAGTAAGCCTAATGGCATGTAACAGTTTCAGTGAGCCACAGGGACATTATCTGTTCCCTCAATACTTCTACACAGTGAAGTTTTTATTTTCTTTGACAGTGGCACATTTATTTCTCATGTAGTCTGTCCTGTATTTTGCCAGGAATGTAATTCAAACTACCCCTCTAATAATTACAGATGAACATTAAGTAAAAACAGTAAGAGTAACTAAGCTTTTATTGTTATGCTGCTTTGTATAAAATCAAAATTATATCCAAAGTGGAAAAAAAACCAGTTATATTTTCCACAGAGGCAAAAGTGTGAGAAAGAAGACTTAGTGGGTAACTAGCATGCGAGAGAAGTTAAATGATTTAATATATGCCAAATATGTAGTCACCTAAAGTTACTGTCAGAGATAGGGACTCCTCTATTTAAGTCCCCTTTTTAAAAAATTAAGATTCCATCCAAATTCTTCTGATTCTTTTTTCATATTTCAAGTTACCATCAAACTTGGCATGACTCTATTGCTTAGTTGGAAGTCATTACATGGAGGTCTTGGATTTAAATATGGTGGAGACGTGAATAGGAAACATGGAAATGGACCCAGCTAGCAGGATCAAAATTTGAAGTGTGAAAGAATTCCCCCATGTTGAAGCAGTTTCCAAATGAAATGATTAAATTGGGGTGAATGAAGTTCAAATGAATTTTTATTACCCAGATAAAAAGATTGCTACAGGATTATAAACCTTCTATAATTTTCAGCAAATGTTTAATCCATTTGAATGAGCAGAATTGGTCACAAAGAATAAATTACAAGAAAAAGATCATTTCTGATATTTTGAATTCATTCAAAAGTCTTCGAAAACCACGAGAGATGCCAAGGGGTAACTTTTAAAGATGGGAAATGAAATGATTAATGATACACTAGACTTGAAGAAAAAAATTACGTTTTGGAGAAAGAAAACTTTTCTTTTGTATAATATATTTAAATAGTGCAAGATGTTACTATTAAAATTCATGTAATCTAAATATTAAAAAGCTTGATAAGTAGTTTGATAATTAATTACTAAGCAAAGTCAATTGCTCTGAAAGAAGGAGTAAGGACTCAAATGCTTCTATGTCTCCTCCAAACTATGGCTTCTCCAAGCTTTATGGGTCTATCTAAAAATGGATAACTCAACCCTCAGGATTTGGAATTCAGAAAAATAAAACTTAAAGGGAAAAACATACAGAAACTTAATACAGGTTCTTCAAAGAATGTGTGTGTGTGTGTGTGTGTGTGTGTGCATATTTTTTTCTTTCTTTCCACAGAAGTGACTCTGGAATAACCATTATGAATATGATGAGACTTGAACTAGCCCAGGGGAAGAAGAAAAAATTAATGACTCCGTAAGTAAAATATCACATGTTTAAAGACTGTTTAGTCTGTTGCTCCAGAATCCCAGTTGAAGACATTACAATTTTGACTCTGAAGAAAAAGTATTCTTTTTCGCCACCTAGAGGTGTGCTTTGGTTATGACCAAGATGGTTTCCAGTCTATCTCGAGTCTTTGTTGACATGTTATTAAAAAATGTATTGCAATATTGCATAAAGAATGAATTGGAAAGAAAGAAAAATGAGGAGAAAATGATAAGCACTATTTCACTACGGTCTGATACAAGACTCTGCTAAGAAGTCTTATTAATAGACCAGAAGTCCTGGGGTCAAATACTGACTCTCCTTCCTAGACGTTTAGCTCCCCTTCTATTCTAGTCACATGACTTTTTGTGCTTGAGTTCTCCAGTGTGTACAGTGGCGGCTAACATCTCAAATATCCTTGTGAAGATTAAAAGCCTGTGTCAGTAGTGGGCATCTATTTTATAGTCAATAAATACTAGCTAAGCTGAAATCATCACTGTAGGAAATATGCCAAAATAAAACTTCCATTGACTTATTTTAAAAAGAATAGTGAGTCTGTAACAAAATAGGAATATTTTGTAGAACTCTAAATCACTAAGAAAAGACAAAAGACCAGGGGTAGACATGAAAACAGGTTAAGTTATTGATGAAATAAAACCATAAATGACAGAAAATCCAAAATTTCCTTCATATTGAAAGGGAAGAAGCCCCTAAGATGATGGATGAAATGCTGAGCTCTGAAGTGAGTAGTTCATATATGTTTTTTAAAAACAAATTTTGGTAACAAATTATAGTTCACTTTGGCATCAACGACTTATTATCTAAGGCAAGGCATGCTATACCTTTCAAAATAAATGCGAAGATGTCTCTGCACTCCTGTCCCCACAAATGAAGATACCTAACTGCGACCATTTAAAACAGAGTGCTAATTAACCCACAGGCAAGGGTCCCATCACTAAAGGCCACCTTTGTTCTGATTTAGAGCACTGTCCTCACCTCTGCCTAGTCAGTTTTGTGTCTTACAGGTATGAAACAATGACGAAAACAAAGTTCCTAGGCCAATAACACTGTTTTTTTAAAAATAAAATTAAAAAAACCCCAAAACAGAAACAAATCCCCTCAAAAACTTAAGCCAAACACCCTTCCAAAATTCAGAAGGAGAAAATGCTATCTTTCAAGCTAGACTGAAGGAATTAACAGCCAAGGATGGCTCTAGGTGGCTCTTTCTCCATTCTGAGTTCTTTACTCCTATGTGATTCATTTTGACTGGCCAATAATGGGTCTACAAAGCTGTATATTCTCAATCAATGTCAGAAATGTAAAAATCTTAAACCTAGGGATCTAAACAGGGTATTTAATTTTAAAAGTCCAAAATTTAATCAGAAAGGTAATTCCAGATCTTGCAAATGGATCTTCACTTCTGGCCAAGGGGAGTGACTTGTCCCAAATTAAAAATCACCAACTATAAAGGGAAAATAACACTAGTTACTAG